ATGTATGTTGCCTATAAATGAAAAATTACTAAATTAGATATATGATCTTCTCTTAAGAATATTTTATTTACAGGTAGGAGGTATGGTGAAGAAAGTTTACAGCTACGGGACGATTTAGAGGAATAACAATGTTTATGGGAATTATCTGTGACATACTTAAAGTTTTGAAATTTTTTCTCAAATTAAAATAGTTTAGGGGTTGTTTGCAGCGCTCCCGGAAATGGGTTTTGATTAAAATTAACTATATTATGAGACTAGAGGATGATTTTCAAGTACCATTTAGTAGAGGGTGGGCATTGCATTCCTCACGGGTAGGTGATGCACCGTAAATAATTTTCCTTCTATGAAAACAACCTGTTCCTCCATAAAAAGGACCTTGAATCCCTCCAATGCCCATTCCCAATTTCTGAAATTATGGAAATAGAAGAGATAATCAAATTGAAACAAAACAATGAACGGAAGAACACTCCACGTGGCATTCTTTTTTTAAGGTAAAAATAGGGCGACAAGTCGTATTTAAAATTATATATTTAGAATAAAAACTATCATCATCACTATTAGATGTTAGTAATGATAATAAAAGAGATAGAAATTTTAAGGCGTGAAACAATTTCTTTAAAGAAATATTTGCTCCACTTGGTAATTTAAATTTGCTTTAGATTAACGCAAATTTTCTTTCCATGATATAACAAAAATTAAAAATTCTAGTAAGCAGATATGTAATTTTCTAACAATTCTATGTGAAATAAGTTTGTACAAACTGTAGATTTTTGAAGGAGATAATTCTGAGAGAAAAAAGAGAGATTAGAAGTTTGGAGATGTATCCTATTTATAGGATTGAAAATGTGCTTTAACTTCATATTTCCAATGGCCAAACATTTTGAAATCTCAGCGGTCAACTTTCAACAGTCAAATCTTTTAAAATCTCAACGGTTAATTTTCTACTGTCAAATTTTTTTTATTTGTGACATTTTGTTTTTATCAGATAAAATCCACCATTAGATAACCATGAATAGTAGAGAATTAAAAAATCTCTACTATATATGAGGATAAAGAGAAGACATGGTCGTCACTCTCTCGGAGACATTCTTGCCAACAATATATACGCTAAATTTTTGGGTACATGGATAATCTAGCTAGGATTTGGATCACCTCCATTGGCTATTCAAAAATAATGGAGAGACTATTAATTTTAATCTTAATTATTTACTATTTAATGGATAACTGTGATTTGTCTTCTGGACTACAAGTGAAACGAGCAAATATGACTAATGAGATACTTGAAATGAATCACGGATTTCCACGATCATCTATGTGAACTATTTAAAGCGCAGTTATTTTGTGATGACCCTCGAAATGCATTGCTCTAGAGAGGTCTTAAAATTGTGTGTGTGTGAGAGAGAGAGAGAGAGAGAGAGAGAGAACTTACCTTCTGCAAGACCACCAATTGATTTCCAAAAGGATCATCCTTGAGTGCACCATAGAATTGTTGTGGTTCTTGAGCAAATCCACTGAATACCTCATTGTCAAAGCCAAGCAAGAGGCACATCCCATGAAGAATAACCAACGGATTATTTGCAAACATGTCACAGTCCACATTGAGGATGAAAGGAGCATTTGTCATGACTCCCGATACTCTCGTCTGCAAATATTATCAAGTTCAGAATTATTAGCATTTTATAATTTTACTTGAAAATATTTAGTTATTATTGTATTCTTGGTTGTTTGTTGATGATATTTACATAACTTCTCCATCATTTTGCGGTCATTCGTTTCTGATTGCATGATTTTTTAGCAACCTTGTAGTAAAAGGGATGTCAATTTTAAATCTTTCCCTCAGATGGCAGATTTGGAATTAGTACTTTTATGGGTGATTATTTCCTTTCTAACTAGACAAACGTGGGATGAGAATGCAAAAGCCTTTGCATTAACAATGTCTATTTATTTCTATACTACTATATAAAGATTCAAGTGAGGACAGTCTAAAACATGAACAGGTGAAGGACATGCCATCTTTCTTATTATGATTAAGAGGGTAAAAAAGAAATTTTACAAGAGAGATTTTTCTTTTTCCCTATACATCTTTGTTATTTTTCCTAATCAAAATTTTACCTAACAATAGATAGATTCTACATAATTATCTATTCATTTAAGATTACAAACTATATAAAGAGAAAGATAAATTTGTTTATTAAGACCAATTTTACCTAACAATAGATAGATTCTACATAATTATCTATTCATTTAAGATTACAAACTATATAAAGAGAAAGATAAATTTGTTTATTAAGACC